AAACACGGTGGTGATAAACTACTGTAGCCACAGCTGCCCTGGGGCACACTGACAGAAGCGAGGCAACCAGTCTGTGCCATCAGCCCCTCCCACCACCACCAACCATTCACACACACACCAGACTCATTCTAGGCAATGGGGGTGAAGTGTCTTGCCTAAGGATACAACCACAGTTTGGCACTTTACAGCCGCAGCTGCCCCACTGTGGCTGGTGTTTCTAGAGGTTAAGTGTCTTGCCAAGGACACAACAACAGTAGTCAGTGGGAGTCGATGGTGAAAGTCGGGCTCGAACCCACGACCCTCTGGCTCAAAGGCCAATGCTTTACCAACTGAGCTATGTCACCCCTAAATACATGTCTTACATTACTTTTTTGACTTTTTTATTTGATATGACTTTTTCTTTGGGGTCATCTTCCACACATTGCTTACTATTTTGCTTATTTTATTATCTGTGCCCAAGCCTGAGTCCTCCCTCCCTTTTTCTACTGCAGCCAAAGTAATTAGTCCAATTGTTTTGATTGTGAAGCTATTTAAAAAAATCACAACGCGTTTTAGTTTTTGAACTTGCAATGCTATTAATCTAATCTCAATTTTACGGGTGCATCGCCAAGTTATTAATACATATCTTTTTTATTGTGTCAAGTATAATTAAGCAACAGGGCGTGTGGGGAAATCAGTGTAGGACGTGCTCATCATCAGACTGAGTGACTTTTAATATGGCGGAGAGATGCTCTATGTGGGCAGTAATTAGAGAGATCTCGAGTTCGGTGTTGACCCTGAACTTGTCTACAATAATATGTAAATGTTAATAATGAATTAGTTTTATATAGCGCTTTTTTTGGACACTCAAATTTGCTTCACATGTCATTATTAATTTACTTAATTTACTCCATGGTTGGTGGTGGCCCCTTCGATCACCACCAACCGTTCACCCACACACCAGACTCATTCTAGGCAATGTGGGGGAAGTGTCTTGCCTAAGGGCACAACAACAGTTTGGCACTTTACAGCCACAGCAGCCCCACTGTGGCACCTGCTGTTCCCAGAGGTCTCCCATCACAGTACTAACCAGGCCCTACCCTGCTTAGCTTCAGAAGTCTGACTTTCACTTGCAGGTATGATTTCGGTAAATCACTCGTTTCCCTTTAATCTGTCATAGTTAAGACAATCTTGCCGGTCTTTGATTGACTAAAGTCTTGCTTGGTTTATGGTGTAATGTACTCATTTGTATTTGAAAGCCTGAAATCCATAATGTACAAAAACAACCTGTAGAAGTGACCACAACAAAAGAACGAAGCAATTGTTGCCACTACGACTTGGAGGGCCATATAAAGGCTGGACGAGACCATAGATTGTAAATGTTAACGGACAAAGTGACGCCGTTGAAACTAATGTACCATCTCTTTTGGCTTCTGTGGGCTTTTTCAAAATGGCCGCGGGGCAGGAAAATGTGAAAAAACGCATTTAGCTGGCATAAGTGCATACTACGGTCTACGGCGGCTAAATAAAAAACTATACTCCTCAACATTGACAGCATCTGTAGCGTAGCGTTGAGCCAAGAACGACTGTTGGACCATCCTGTAAAGCCGTTTTCAAGAGGAAAGAAGGGGGCATACAATACATTGGGTAATTCTCTTTCCGGGTACACCCCCACCGGCTGTCACATTCCTCTTCCATTATTTACTTTATTTGTCATCAATTTGAATGTATTAGTTTGGACTGCATTTAGACCCAGAAAAGTACTGTATTCAAAAGTTTCTATACAAGAAGTGTATGTTATGGTATAGAGAAAAAACCAGTAATTACCTCTAATAAACTGTAATGAAGAAAGAACCGGTTCTGCTTGAAACATCTTGAGGCAACTTTATTCCCTGCCAAGGCCATGTGCTTTTGAACTTGTTTCTCCTCAGAGACACTCAGAATGCCATGCTTAGCTTTGTGTTGACTTTCAGCTCCTTCAAAGCCACTTTCTCTTAAAAACCACAGCAAAGACTTCCTCAGAAGGAGAAAAACACAAAAACTGAGAACACAATTTGAGAGACAGCGTGGTAACCTTGTGTGTCTGACTAATGCAAGGACTAAATTAAATGTATAAAGGGTAGAAGCAAAGTATTTAAGATACAACGTGGATCTTTCAAAACAACACTTAAGACATATTTAATGAATTAAAAGGACTAAAATATACCTATTGTAAATGTCTACATCGTGAGATCAATAAAGTGTATTGTATCTTACCAACCGTAAAAACCATGGGTCGTCTTAGCCATGAGAGAAGTCCAAAGAAGAAAATATGCAATATATTCAATTTAATGTTTTTTCTTATAGCCATAATTCCCAACAGAAGTCACCTGGAGGATCTTACAAATCATGTGAATAGAAATGAACAGACTACAGCTGAAGTCATAATGACAGTAGGAGAGAGCAGTTGGTAGTTCTTAAGTTTCACCATACATTCTGATTGTCCAAACTTTAATTTGGGGTTTTTACAATATGTAAACCATAAAAATTCAAACTGATGTAAAATACTTTGAATGCCATGAATCTATTTAATAATTTAGTTTAACATTTTACAGAAATAAAAGCTTGTCACAATATTCTGATTAGATTTAGACAGACTTTATTGATCCACAGGAAAATTGGGTTGTCACAGTTGCTTGCTTAGTATTCCACAATAAAAATAACAATAAAGTAACAATCTGAAGATAAGAAGAATAATAATAAGACAATATTGTGAGAATAGAATAATCTGGATATAGGCAGTCAGGAAGTGCGAGGGGAGTAGCTCTGCTCGAGGTATGTCCTGATTCTTGTTTTCACCTGTAATGCGGTTCTGATGGATCATAAACTAACTTCCTATTCACCAACTTTGTGGAGCCGATTACCAGTGCCAGGTACTTGTCATCTGAGCTGCGTATGACTGTAGAAGCAGAGTTGTAGAGTCCATGTTTAGGCAACTAGCCTCTTAGCATTAGCTTCTCTCCAACTTCTCTCCAAAGTTTGGCCTATTTCTCAAATGTCCATATATGTAATGTTTTGACCTGAACCAGTGGAAGCTATTTATGCATGTATGGTGCTTTAGCTCTTATTTCTACATGACATGCACAGTAATATATGCACTTTATCCCTGAAGTTTTACACTGCTGTGAACTGAATGTATTTGTGTTTAAAGATAAGCGGGTTTATTATAAATGTTATAATAATAGATTCTGGTCGAGCTACATGTCCAATTTGCAATGCCCATTTGTCTCGTAAGGACCCTAAACGGTACACAACACCGCCGCTGTTAAAACATTTACGTATGAAACATTAATGGACTGAGGATGGAGTAGGATTTGGTATTCGGTTTCGGATTCGGCAGAATCTTAACCAGTGGATTCGGTATTCGGCCGAACCCCAAAAATCTGGATTCGGTACATCCCTAACACATACAAATGACATACACATCAAGGCAAGCAGCAAAAATAACTTTCGTGCTCCTCACAGGCAGAGTGGGTTAAGTGTCTTGCCCAAGGACACAACGACAGCAGACGTCAGTGGAGATGATGAAGGTCTCGAGGTGGCTCAAAGTCCAATGCTCTACCAACTGAGCCACTGTCGCTCCGTTACCTGTGAATCCAAATGCATTATAAATACTGTACATGTCCCTCATCCTTCCAAATCTCAGTGTGAATATGGGGGAATACCTACAAAACTAATATAAAACCTATCTTAATCTTACAAAAGAAAGCAATTAGAGTGATCAGTCAGGCAGAATACCTTCATCCAACAAATCAAACACTATTTATTAGACAATATCCTAAAATTGTATGATCTTGATGTTTACACTGCAGTGATGGACAAGGCTCACAACTCCAAGCGTCCTCTGTTTACAAGAGATGTTTCATAGAACGTAGCTACAGCCTCAGAAACAACAACTAAAACCCAGGGCAAAGAGTAATACTAAGAGGTGTGTATCAGTCAAAGGAGTTCATCTATGGAACTTAAGGGCTCTAGAACTATTAAAATATTAAAAATAATAAAGTATAGGTCAAATATTATGGAGAAGCATAGAACACATTATGGATTATGCCTAATAACTCTGATTATATTATTGTGCTACATGTTTCCATTGTTGGTATACAGTATGAGAAACTGTCATGTGTCATCTTTAGACATAGTTGTATTAGGGGTTAAGTAAGTAAGTCATATTTATTTATATAGCGCCTTTCACAGACCAGAGTCACAAAGCGGTTTACAATTGTTATTTTTGGGCATTAGTCTCTCACTCCACACAGAGATGGGAGAGGTCAGTACAGGAGGTACAGACAGAACTATTGGACATGTTTTTAGTGGTAGGGGAAACCGGAGTACCCGGAGGAAACCTACGCAGACACGGGGAGAACATGCAAACTCCACTCAGAAAGGCCCTGGTCCGACCGGGATTCTTGCTGAGAGGCGAGAGTGCTATCCACTCCGGGTTAGGCAGTATATGGTCAGTCAGGCATTATTTAGCACTAAAATTCTTAATATACACATTTTACTTTTTTTTTTTCTCTTAATATATATGTATGATCTTTGAAAACATGTGACCTGAGATCTAATGTACATAATGGCTGAAGAGAATAAACTACTCCCACTGCATTGACAGACATAATACAAGTCATGTAAACAGTCTCATTATCGCTTCTAAGAGCCACAAACAACACGTGCTACTTCTTCAACCCGCTCCATTCTGGGGTCGCGTCTCTCCCGTAGACGCCGACCCCGCTGTGTTTACATTTGCGTCGGTGCATTTCCGCATGTGCAGCCTGCCATCATTACATTTATGCGCCCCATATTTTACGTCTTATTTCTTCCCAGAAGCGCGGGCCTCTTTAGTGCCAGTAATTCCCGCAGGTTGTCAACGGCTCGTGCGTCTAAGAACAGATCGTCTCCCCGTCCTCAGCCACCGGCCACTCCAGAAAGAGATATGGCGTGTCAGATTATTAGGCGTCGCATGGAGCAGTGTGCAGCCCTCCATTATGAGAGGAGGAAGCGGCATTATGAGGCCTCCGAGGCTACGGGGGGACGGGGTTGAGGGCTGGGGCCGTGATGATGTCGGATTTTCAGGTAAAGTTAGAGGCGTTAGCAATGCCACTGGTACGTTCATAAAAAATGTCCCGGTATTTGGCCGGTTCAGTGATTACGTCTCTGTGTGCAGCAGCAATGGGCTCCTGTTTGAAAGTGAATAATGAATCAGTCGTATGCATATTCGTATCATACTACACTGAAAAAAATACAAATCTTTGACAAATGTATTTGCTAAAAATCACATAAAATTTTTTCTTGATTTGTGTTTGTCATGTAAGAATATTTTACTAGTTTTAAAATAAAACAGGTTTAAAGTAGTTTCTACTAAGTAAGTTTCTTATTTGTTTCTTTTTTAGATTAAAGTATCTTATGTTACATTTAGAAAAACACATTTCTCAAACAATGTTTAAGAAAAAGTAAATACAGTATGAATGTATTTATACTAGAATAAAGTTATTTGGGTCTAGTGTTATTTTCTCGCCAAGAAATAGTCATATTTTTTTGTTCTTTTGACGGATATTTTTTCTTATTTTAAGCAGTATTTTACTTATTTTCACATACGTTTATTTAATTTTGTTTCCAGTGCAGCTGTAACCGAAAATAATTGTGCCTAAAAAATGAAACAAGTGGTTTGCATTTTTAACAGCGGTTGAACTCCCAGTTTTTCACATTTGCTAATTTTGGAGGTTTTTTGATGGACTGAGACGGTTCAAGTGAGAAGGAAGTAGTTTGTTTCTAAAAAAGCGCAGACCTTTTGGATTTACCGCTCAGTCTTCGTTCCCTCGCTCTCCTGTGGTCATGAGCTTTGGGTCATGACCGAACGGAAGAGATCGCTGAGAGGAGCCAGTTGAGGTGGCTCGGGAATCTGTTCCGGATGCTTCCCGCTCCGGGCACATTCCACCGGGAGGAGACCCCGGGGAAGACCCAGGACATGCTGGAGGGACTGTATCTCTCAGCTGGCCTGGGAACGCCTTGGAGTCCCCATGGATCAGCTGGAAGAAGTCTGGGCTTAGACTGCTGTCCGCGTGACCCGGCAACGGATGAAGCGGAAGAAAATGGATGGATGGATGATTGTCTCTGTGAGTCTGGTCTGTGACTCTGGTCTGAGACTCTAGGGTCTGTGACTCTGGTCTGACTCTGGTCTGTGTGTCCCATGTGTGCACGATGCATGTTGGGGGAATAGTTGTTTGCGGGCGAATCTTGTCCATTTATTTCAGACAGCTGCGGCTCTGACAGGCCATCATTAGCCGTGCGATTCCTCAGGTTGTTTCATTCCCCCGGTGGCCAAGACAAACTGCACGCCATCTTAATTGCTGGTATGAATAAAAGTTCATTTTCCAAAGGGTGGTATCATTATAAACGTGGTGTAAAAGATGACTGAGAAGATGGATATGTGGAGCACTCCTCACTCTCACCCGGGTGCAATAAAGGCACTAATAAACCAGAGGTGGCCCAACCTGCTACTCCCAGACAATAGACAAGATTAATGTGCTTATCTCTCAATTACAAGCACGAGTTTGTGCACAAAGTTTAAGGAGGAAAATAATGTTGAGCTGCAGCGTGAAGATTTGAGCTTGCCTTTGAAAGACATCTCATATTGGAATATTATTCCTGATGTTAGAATAATGTCAGCTCAACAGAGGTTTTGCACCACCACGGGACATGCATAGCAACCGTTACTACGCCGCCATGTTAGATGGCAGCTTTTGAACCTCTACACCAGGCATGTCAAAGTCAAATACATCAGAGGGCCAAAAAAAAATGTTTGCTCTGCGCCGAGGGCCGGACTGGTTCAATGTTTCTCAACATCCAGAGGCAGTGCCGGTGACACCTGTTGGCTCGATAAAATATGCTCCAAAGCCAATCCTCATACTTTACATATTAGATGTAATAGACATCTGAGAACATGAAAATAGTAAAAAAAAAAAAAAGCTCAAACTTGGTGAAATGTAAAAGAGCAGTCTGGACCTCTTTTTGGGGCGTTTTTTGATTAAATCTGCAGAATGGATTATACTTTGGGAAATACAAGTGGATGTTCTTCTTCAATTAACAGTTACGGAGAGAAAGAGGATGGGGAAAGTAATTTGTTGGAGCAACAAAGACGAAAGGTAAAAAACAAATACAGACTAGCTGAGAAAATAAGCTTTAAAATTATATATAGCTTGTGGCTTATGAAGTTCAAAATACATCTGCTATTGCCAGCAGATGTTTTTTTTCCTCGTTTGCTCCCGCCGGCGGGGGCTAGCGAGCTTAAGGGGTCAATGCATTGCCTCAATGGCAGGCAATGTCCCGGGGGCCATAGATAATTCATTCGCGGGCCAAATGGCCTTGACTTTGACACATGTGCTCTACACAGTCAGATTCAACACTGCAACCGAGAGCGCACATTTACTTAGACACATCGGAACGTTTTGTTGTATTTTTAATTATGGTAAATGCTCAGAGCGAGAGAAAGATTTCATTCTTTTTTAAATACCAGCCGTAATTAGCCATCAAGGAAAAAAAACTCTAAACCTATCGAAAAAACCACTGCAGCAATAATTTGCAAGCTAGCATTGGTGACGATGCAGTCATTTTCACCATGGTTAGTTGTTCTAATAAAAACATTGAGTTGGCGTAAAAAGCGTGTCGGTGTCGTGAGGTGAGGTTGGGGAATGAGGCACTGACTTCATCACAATCAGATTAATCGCTACATATCAACAGCACCTACAGAGCGGATTCTTCACTATTTGTTTGGCAACAGTGGAATATGTTCATTGAGCTCTTTCTTACAATAATACAAAATATATCCATTCATCTAATACGATGAAGACTGTATGTCCTGGTCAGAATTTAACTTTTACAAGACTCTTTCTGTTCCAACAAATAAAATGCATAAATCCCGGAGCTTCCCTTCTGCCAGCCTCCGTCTCCACAGTCGGCCTTCCAGTAATTTTGTCCATATAAAATAAACTCCACTCTGCCTTTTGGGATCATTTTACAAAACCTAACACTTTCCTAGTATCGACAAAACCCTCTCTCTTTCCAAGTCGCTCATAGTCGACTCAACAGTGACTTCACTGCGTCATCGCAAGCCTAGCACACTCCAATAGATTAAAAAATAATTCTCTCCAACTACTCCCGAAATAGTCCCCCCTAAATGAGAGGTTGTCTGGGTTAGTGGAGGCCCTTAACATCTGGAGGGGGCCAACGGTGTCCGGAGAGGGGATCGGCGGGCGAATAAATGCCGTTATTATTGTGGTCAAGGGAGTGTGGAGGGATGTATTAGGCCGGCTCTCTTGGGACGAACAGTGAAAGTCAGGGTCCGCTGTAATAACATGGGAATTATGAGCGGCCATATATTGGGGATTTTCACTTCTAAATAGCCTCTCTCTGCACTGAGGCATTACAGCAGCAGCCCTGTGTCTAATGACAGAGGATAGGCTCTCTGCCGGTTATGGCCCTTCCAGAGGCTCCCAGCGGGGAAAAGTGCAAGTAAGTTCAAACGAGCCCGAAGACTTTATTGATTTTTCATTTGCAAGTTTTTAGTGCTGTAAGACTTTTTATTGTATTTTAAGCACCTAAATGTTCTGGTGTGGCATGAAACAAGTCAATGCTAATATCGTTTACAGATATTGTGCAGCTATTAATTTTAGAAGCTTTGCATGAAGCGACAAATTCGATTTTCAAAAATAGATTTTTTTTTGTTGCTATTTCAGCTCATTGTGTCTTTGAGCGCATAATTGGTCCTGCTACTGTCATGGAAATTAACCACCCCAAAGTTCTGCTTGTCTGTCCTGCGTTTTAATTTTTAGGGAAGCAATTTAGAAGATTTCTAACTGAAACAAAATAGTGAAGCTTTTTTTTATTCAGTCTAAATTAAAACTTTAATTTGTTAAATTAACAGTCTCAAATGAAACTTGTAATCATGTTGATAATTCAAATGGGAATTTTACAACATTAAGCCTTTTGTGATAATGGACGATAAAACTTCCACATTTTAATTAAAGGGTGAAAAGCTATTTCAAACAGAGCGGGACATGTGCGACCTGCAAATAATATTGCATTCAGTCAAACTTGGACAGAGCATAAACTGCATCGGGCGATTACATGTAGGGCTTTATAATGTTAACAAAAATCTGGAGAATAAAGCTAAAATAAAGGACGCCCACCATTGTTTAATCGTCTTGGCTTTACATTTTCAGAAGCTGAGGTTTGAAGTCTTTAGAGGCAATGTCGAAGATCAAGTAATATATTTTCCTTTTGTTTGTTGCAGAAGGCTGATTCTAGGCCTGTTACAAGCCCTCATTCAGTCATTCAGTCCTGGCTTCAATCTGCTTCAGTTCTGCTTCTGTCCTGTCTCAGTCCTGGTTTTCAACCTGGATTACGCCTGATTCAGTTCTGCTTCAGTCCTGGTTTAGTCCTGCATTAGTCCTGCCTCAGTCCTGGTTTAGTCCTGGTTAAGTCCTGCTTTTGACCTGCTTTATATTCTTAGTTCAATCCTAATTTAGTCTTGCTCTAGCTCTGCTTTAGACTTGTGTTGGTCCTGCTTTAGCCAAGGTTCAGACGAGCTTCAGACCTGTTCCAGTCCTGGTTCACTTCTGCTTTAGACCTGCTGTAGGCCTTCTTTGATCAAGCTGTCTCCTGTTCCTTCTCTGAGCAGGAGCTTTAGAGCTTGGTTCAAAACACGGCTCTTGGTTCAACGCTAAGTTCCTGGATGTGTTTTTTCCCCCCAGGTTTATTTAGCTAATGTGGATTTTGTGTCTCATAACGCACATGACACCACAGCAGCAGCTCCAGCCGAGTGTGATCTCTGCACAATATTCACTACACACTATGCAGAGACAGCCCAAAGCATGTCTCATTTTCAGGTTTCCTGCAGGAGGTTGATCGTGGGCTCCATGGCTCAGAGTAACATAACATTGAATGGAAGAAAAATAGCAGCAAACGCTCACATTTTATACTGTGTTGTTCAAACACCATCCTTCCCTCACTCGAGCAAGCAAGTGATGCGGTCGCTGTTTCGGACCGTTGTGGTGAAGAGGGAGCAGCGTCTGCAGTCAGAGCTGTATCGGACCCTTGTGGTGAAGAGGGAGCAGCGTCTGCAGTCAGAGCTGTTTCGGACCGTTGTGGTGAAGAGGGAGCAGCGTCTGCAGTCAGAGCTGTATCGGACCGTTGTGGTGAAGAGGGAGCAGCGTCTGCAGTCAGAGCTGTATCGGACCCTTGTGGTGAAGAGGGAGCTGAGCCGAAAGGCAAAGCTCTGGATTTACCGGTCAATCTTCGTTCCCTCCCTCACCTATGGTCATGAGCTTTGGGTAATGACCGAAAGAACGAGATCGCGGATACAAGCGGTCGAAATGAGCTTCCTCCGCAGAATGGCTGCTCCCTTAGAGATAGGGTGAGGAGCTCGGTCACACGGGAGGAGCTCGGAGTAGAGCCGCTGCTCCCTTAGAGATAGGGTGAGGAGCTCGGTCACACGGGAGGAGCTCGGAGAAGAGCCGCTGCTTCTCTTCTCTTCAAGTCGAGAGGAACCAGTTGAGGTGGCTCGGGCATCTGTTCCGGATGCCTCCTGGACGCCTCCCTGGGGAGGTGTTCCGGGTACGGGTATGGCCGGGTACGGCAGGAAGCAGCCAAAACAAGGTAAATGCAGTGCATGTGTTTACCTACAGAAGAAACTGGTAATCAATGATATTGTGTTTGTGCTGGAAACATATTTCAGTCATGGAACAATATTCATTTGTTTTGTATTATCACCACATTCAGATGTTGGTGTTTCCTCCTCTCTCACTGTCCTTCAGCCAATCTGTGTTCCCTGTGGGCTAATGAACAAGTGCTCATCTCCTGCCAGTGCTAGAAAAGCATTTTTATGAATTCTCTGTTATTCTCTCCTCATTTTGATGCAGTCGAGAGGACGGCGGACGAGTTTAGAAATGTGACTTGTTTGAACTTGGAACACACTTTTCAACCTTGTCCATTTGCTTCATTACTACGACTTTTTGTTCACTCCATTTGTTAAATTGTTCACCTTATGGAATTGTATTGTCATTCTATGTTGTCCTTTTTAATGTTTATCTTAGCAGTGGTTTTGAATATCTAGCCTCCCTTTATTACAAATTCACCTTTACTGTGCTTTCAGTTATTCTAATTTTTCTCTCTATTATTCAATCGTGGGTGGCTGGTGATGGGTCATTGGCAAAGCACTCTGTAAATGATATTTGATTGAATGGCTGCATAATTACATTTCAGTGCACAAGAAAACGTATAACAATGCAATCAGTGCCGTCAGTATTTGAGAAAATGCTTTACATCAACATCTCGGTAAACACCATTCACAGCCGACACACCTCTTCTGGAACGGTTGAAGCTCGAGTGAATGTGAGGCTGAGCTTTGGTCTCAGCGGAGGTCCAATTCCTTCTGGACTTCTCTCTGGAGGTTTTGATACAGGCAGGCTATGCTCCGTCCCAGCTGTGCCCTGCAGAGGTGGACTCTCTGGGGGACACATCTGGAGCAGTGGACCGAGGAAGCCTCCGGGAGACACGTCCTCGGCCCCTGGTCTGTGTAGGATCTGAGGTGTGTGGAAAGAGGGCTGTAGGGTCCTCACGCAGACCACTGTCCCATGTAGACAGTGAGGCGTAAGGGCTCTTTGATGGTAATTCAATTCAGTTTATTCTTGTACAGCCTGTTGCAGATTTTATATACAGCACACGTCAAAACACAATCATGTTTTCGTTCATCTTTCGACAGTGAGTTTAGAGCAAAACAATGGACAATGGACGACCTTGGAAGTGTTCTTTTCAGAGAGCAGAGTCTCCCTTATCTCACCGGACAGGAGATGAGACCGGACTAGACCAGACTCTGTCGGTCTTACCATATATGGACCAAAAGATGACGTCTCCAGACAGGCCACGCCCCTTCTGCACATTTTACTTATACGATTTGTGATGATGTGTTAGTCAGTCGGAGCAGAGAAAGTCAGGGCCAGGAGCTAAAAAGAGTCTTGTATAAGTATTTGATTGTAAAAATAATTAAATAGTGTTGATTTGAATAAGCCCCAAATAACAACAGTAATTATCTCAGAGGACTCAATAAAATTGTTGAAATCACCAACACAGATCAGAGAATCAAATAGGTAACACAAAATGTATTCTTGTATAGCTCTAAATCACAATAATAATCATCTCCTGTTGAATTCAACACAGATCAGAGAATCAAAGCCTTCAAACACAATAAATAAAACAGGAAACACATTGGTAGTGGTCCATAAGAGGAGAAGACAGATTTGGCCCCGTCTTTCCAAGAGAAGTTCATTTCTACCATTTGTTCAGATCGACCAGTTTAACCTAAATAACTGTTTGAAAACCCATTTGATGCTTTAAATGCATTTCCTTTAACATCTGCTCCGCTTGAGTCCAAATAAAAAGACAGCACCTAACAACACCAAAAGTTACCCACATTTTTCAGCATTTTTTTGTTGGTAAAGAAATATATATAATTTTTATTTGAGAAGAATCCATTGTGTACATCTATTTCCGTCTGATTAAACTGCAATAAAAGGCTTTGGCCCCAGTTTGTTGTTCCTGTTGTTTCTGTCACAGTTATCTTGCCTTATTTGTATTTTACACTGGTGCGATAGAAAACTATTCTCAAAAAGCACATTTGTTTATGGCAAATATGGAAATGATCTTCCCAAAGATGCTGATATGCAGAGGTCATGTCTCATTCTGACCATAGGAGATTCACTGTCATTCAGCCACAGCTGTTTCACTCACTGCACTGAAACCAGTTACATCTGGGTAAGATTTATCTTCTAGAAATAACAAAAAATATGCTAATATTTTTATATATCGCAACTCTTTTTTTATTGAATTTAGTTTGTCATGCAAGATAATTTTACTAGTTTTTTCTTGTTTAGATAAAATAAGTTATAAGTGATAAGTTATGCTATTAATTTGTGGCTAGTATTATTTACTTATTTCCAGAAATCAAGTCATATTTTCTCACAGATTTCTTATTTTAAGCAGTATTTTGTTTATTTTCATTAATATTATTCATATTTTTTGCATTTACTTTATCATTAGTCACTTCCATCAGCTTGTGTCCATTCGACTCTCAATTAATTAAAGCTGTTGTCTTTGGTAAACACACTTCTGCTGTGTATAAATCTGCCAATAAAGACAATCACAGACTTTTTAGCTCATATTTCCAAATGTTTTTTTCGTTCTGACGTGTTCCATGTGTGATATTTCCAGTTGAACCCTGCAGCAGCGTCTGCACATGGCCCGAGCCGCAGCTTCCTCTCTCCAGAAGGTCACTGGGCACAATCTACATCTCATTTACATTATTTCACAGAGCTCTTTAAAACCAAAACTACTGAAAAGTTCAAATGGCCACAGTACGGACCGCTGTCCACAGGTCTGATCTAACACATAACGTTATGATAAGACAGCATGCACAAAGTTAGCATTATGTCTTCAGCTGTTTTCTGATTGAGCTTGACTGATGTATGAATGAAATGTGCTCAAATCTAAACATAATAACATAGATATTCCTTCATTCGTCTCACAGTGGGGAACTTTCAGTGTCATCGTTGCACATTACAGCAGAGAAAGAACAAAATATAGCACTCAATATAGCACTAAATAATAAGATGGTTAAATAGCTATGTATAAAAGAGCTATAATGTGACTTGGTTCAGGAGTATTTACAGATGTGTATGTTGTACTTTGGCAGCAGAGAATATGAGCAGAATAAACAAAAGGGCGACAGTGGCTCAGTTGGTAGAGCCTTTGGGCCTGAAGGTTAAGTAAGTAATCTTTATTTATATAGCGCCTTTCACAGACCAGCGTTTACAATCGTTATTTTTGGGCACTTGTCTCTCTCCACACAGAGATGGGAGCAGGGGTTGTGGGTTCGAGACCATCACAAACATCCCCACTTTGAGTCCACAAGATCTCAGCTCCTGTGGACTCAGCACTTGCAGGAGGATCAGTGAGACTGCCACCCCCCTGACCCAGACATGGATTAAGGGGAAGAAGATGGATGGATGAACACTAGTAACAATATCAGCAGGTAATAGTAAAAATAAACATAAAGTCCAAGCTAAACTTTTGAGCAGAATAAACAATAGTATCAATAATCATCAGGTATAAACTAAAGTGTAAAAATGGCCAAACTTGTGTGTTTTGTCTTCCTGAATTCTTTACTCTGTGAATGCATTCGTGAGCTCTTCAGTCAGAGCTCTTCAGTCAGAGCTCTTCAGTCAGAGCTCTTCAGTCAGAGCTCTTCAGTCAGAGCTCTTCAGTCAGGGCTCTTCAGTCAGGGCTCTTCAGTCAGGGCTCTTCAGTCAGGGCTCTTCAGTCAGAGCTCTTCAGTCAGGGCTCTTCAGTCAGGGCTCTTCAGTCAGGGCTCTTCAGTCAGGGCTCTTCAGTCAGGGCTCTTCAGTCAGAGCTCTTCAGTCAGGGCTCTTCAGTCAGGGCTCTTCAGTCAGGGCTCTTCAGTCAGGGCTCTTCAGTCAGGGCTCTTCAGTCAGGGCTCTTCAGTCAGGGCTCTTCAGTCAGGGCTCTTCAGTCAGTCAGGGCTCTTCAGTCAGTCAGCTCTTCAGTCAGAGCTCTTCAGTCAGAGTCGAGCTCTTCAGTCAGGGCTCTTCAGTCAGGGCTCTTCAGTCAGAGCTCTTCAGTCAGGGCTCTTCAGTCAGGGCTCTTCAGTCAGGGCTCTTCAGTCAGGGCTCTTCAGTCAGGGCTCTTCAGTCAGGGCTCTTCAGTCAGGGCTCTTCAGTCAGAGCTCTTCAGTCAGAGCTCTTCAGTCAGAGCTCTTCAGTCAGAGCTCTTCAGTCAGGGCTCTTCAGTCAGGGCTCTTCAGTCAGAGCTCTTCAGTCAGGGCTCTTCAGTCAGGGCTCTTCAGTCAGAGCTCTTCAGTCAGAGCTCTTCAGTCAGGGCTCTTCAGTCAGGGCTCTTCAGTCAGGGCTCTTCAGTCAGGGCTCTTCAGTCAGGGCTCTTCAGTCAGGGCTCTTCAGTCAGGGCTCTTCAGTCAGGGCTCTTCAGTCAGGGCTCTTCAGTCAGGGCTCTTCAGTCAGGGCTCTTCAGTCAGAGCTCTGAGCCGAGGCCTCGACCTTGAGTTTCTCACAAAGAAAAGTTCAAACACCACGCAGGGTCTCACTAATGAAATATTGATGCCAGAAGTTAAAGCTGTGTTCTGGAGAGACACAATTGAGTCGATTTACCCGACGTTGCGTCAGATGTGACAGATTTTTGATATTAAAAAAGTCAAAAAAACAGTTTGAAGAGAGACGTGACGAGGAAGTATAAAAGAAAAGGGCAACACAGTGAAAGCACATGTTCTTGAAGGTCCGTGGGTCGACGCCCTCATGTGGTTGCCGTGGAGAAGGTGTCAGGAAGTTCAACTGTATTTTATTTTAGAAAGCATCTTCTCCATGTGTGTCATGTCGACTGAGTGAATATGAAGGAATAATATGTTCAGTATAATCCCTCCTCTTTGCACAACCATTTTGAGATGACAAATTGTAAATAGAAATGCAGTGGTAAATATTGTTTGCAAATGTTACTGCTTGATTCATGTTCATAAGTTTGCATGTATCAGTAAATACTGTAAACACAGGAGGCAACATGTATACAAAGTCATGTAAACTAAGGAATGTTAATATTGAATATACTTATAATACTTGTAAAATTTCTGATCAAATGAATAAAATCTATCACTTGCCAGTAAGATCTGCTGGAGGAGAAAAGAAAATGTAAAAGATTTGATTTAATCCAATCAGAAGCTGTTGATCATGGATGAGAGAACATGGAGAATATCTGACTGGTTTTAAGACGGCTGAAACCAATTTCACCTTTCTCAGCGATCAACACGATGTTATTTAGTTCATCAGATTTTTATTTTAGTTTCAGACCAACCACATATTAAATCAAAAGTAAGTAAATAAGTACAGTTTATTTCATATCTTTGTGTAAATGCACTTCTAAAAACATGAGGTCAAAGGATCATGAATCATTGGAACATTCTCCGATCAGAGCGACAGACGCTTCTATGTTTCAGAATTATAATCTGAGGAAGAGTCAGAAGAACATTTCCACTGAGGCCCAAACCCAGAGCAGTGGTTCCCAAACTGCAGTCTGCGGGACACTGTTTTTTACAATATTTATGACATAAATGTTTTGTTTAAGCGATATTAGATCAAATGGCACTATCACGTCCTAAAATAAACAACATTAACCTTAATTTAGCGTAGTTTGACACTTAGCACTGTCCCCAGTGTCAGAATGGCCACGGTGGGGGCCCGAGCATTCAGCCCCTCTGCCCCAAACTCTGCAACACTCTGAATCACATCTCATAACCGTCCTTTTTAAACTGGCTCATTCTTTGTAATTCTAAAATGTATTATATTCTGTACCTTTATTATATATTACAAGGCTTGAAAGGTGTCAAAAATAAAATGAATTATTAATATTACTAAATCAAACTGTATTCATCAGTGTGCAGATCGACAATAGAGTTGGGAACAGGTTTGGATAATCCCCGCTGGCTTTTCAAAGGAAAATCTAACTCAGGAGACGTCCCATTTATGTAAAACATACATGTTGTTGTTTGGTTCATACTTAAAATAAGCTTTTGTTCTACACCTTCGGGCGCTGTAATTGATTCCACATGGGCTAGTCCTATATTTTAAATCATATTCTATCATTAAGGCAGATAAAAACACCTTTAATGCTGTAGATCATTATTCCATCTGCAGTATCGGAGTCCCAGGTGTTGGAGCGGTCCGGCCCTTCCTCTCTGCCTGCCTGCCCTTCCTCTCTGCCTGCCTCCCCTTCCTCTCTGCCTGCCTCCCCTTCCTCTCTGCCTGCCTCCCCTTCCTCCCTCTGCCTGCCTCCCCTTCCTCTCTGCCTGCCTCCCCTTCCTCTCTGCCTGCCTCCCCTTCCTCTCTGCCTGCCTCCCCTTCCTCTCTGCCTGCCTCCCCTTCCTCCCTCTGCCTGCCTCCCTTCCTCTCTGCCTGCCTCCCCTTCCTCTCTGCCTGCCTCCCCTTCCTCTCTGCCTGCCTCCCCTTCCTCTCTGCCTGCCTCCCCTTCCTCTCTGCCTGCCTCCCTTCCTCTCTGCCTGCCTCCCCTTCCTCTCTGCCTGCCTCCCCTTCCTCCTCTGCCTGCCTCCCCTTCCTCCTCTGCCTGCCTCCCCTTCCTCTCTGCCTGCCTCCCCTTCCTCTCTGCCTGCCTCCCCTTCCTCTCTGCCTGCCTCCCCTTCCTCTCTGCCTGCCTCCCCTTCCTCTCTGCCTGCCTCCCCTTCCTCTCTGCCTGCCTCCCCTTCCTCTCTGCCTGCCTCCCCTTCCTCCCTCTGCCTGCCTCCCCTTCCTCTCTGCCTGCCTCCCCTTCCTCTCTGCCTGCCTCCCCTTCCTCCCTCTGCCTGCCTCCCCTTCCTCCCTCTGCCTGCCTCCCCTTCCTCTCTGCCTGCCTCCCCTTCCTCTCTGCCTGCCTCCCCTTCCTCTCTGCCTGCCTCCCCTTCCTCTCTGCCTGCCTCCCCTTCCTCTAATTCCCCACTCTGGAGGAATGCAGTGTGATTGATGACAAATCACTCCAAACTGCTTTAGAGAACTTTCCATTCACAACAAGGAAATTGGTCTTCTCCCCGCGGCATACTTCATCTCGGCCCAAACAGGACGGCTCTATCCAGTTCACTGCTGAGCCTGACAATAAAATTATGATTAATATTGGTCCACATCAGCATCCAATTACACTATCCTTTTGACTTTGATGCTATGGACAGGGAGCGGCGTGGAATGGATGTGTTTGGATTCCTGATGGTTAACAATAACAGACCCCGGTGTGGATGAAGGACAATAATTTGTTCATTTATCAACGTGTCACATATTGATGGTTCGTAGAATGACATGCTTTAATGGCTCTTCAGAGATTCTTGTATCTCAGCAATTTTTGCAGAGAAGGTACAGTCGCCGGCTTCCTGATGGAAGAACGAACACAGAACAGAGCGTTCAACACGTTTCAAATCATCAACACGTACTTCAAACAGAACATTATTTCATTTATAGAAAGATAAACAGTTTTTTTTCCAATCCCAATGTAACCTGGTTTTAAACATTGTCAGAGAGGAGGCCTGTCTCACATCTTCAGGAAGACTGTTCCAGATTTTAGCAGCATGAATCTGAAAAGCAGCCTCCCCATGTTTAGTTCTGACTCTGGGCACTAACAGGAGTCCAGTCCCTGTGCTCCTCAGAGTCCCAGCAGGAGTCCAGTCCCTGTGCTCCTCAGAGTCCCAGCAGGAGTCCAGTCCCTGTGCTCCTCAGAGTCCCAGCAGGAGGCCAGTCCCTGTGCTCCTCAGAGTCCCAGCAGGAGTCCAGTCCCTGTGCTCCTCAGAGTCCCAGCAGGAGTCCAGTCCCTGTGCTCCTCAGAGTCCCAGCAGGAGTCCAGTCCCTGTGCTCCTCAGAGTCCCAGCAGGAGTCCAGTCCCTGTGCTCCTCAGAGTCCCAGCAGGAGTCCAGTCCCTGTGCTCCTCAGAGTCCCAGCAGGAGTCCAGTCCCTGTGCTCCTCAGAGTCCCAGCAGGAGTCCAGTCCCTGTGCTCCTCAGAGTCCCAGCAGGAGGCCAGTCCCTGTGCTCCTCAGAGTCCCAGCAGGAGTCCAGTCCCTGTGCTCCTCAGAGTCCCAGCAGGAGGCCAGTCCCTGTGCTCCTCAGAGTCCGTGCTGGTTCATATGGGACTAACATGTCACTAATATATTTTGGTGCGAGGCCATGGAGAGACTTGTAACAAGCAGAGCTGTTTTAAAGTCTATTCTCTTGTACAGTTTTGCACACATATTTTGAGTCGTGTCTTGCACAAAGTGAAGTAATATGAAGTAATATTTTGTGAAAAAATTAGACCACAGGCTACATACAGCATGTCATAATATAATGAATACTTATTTATCTTTTACACACTGACAGCTGAATGAGGGCTGGTGCTGAAAAAGCTAGATGCATATTAAAACTATTGAACCAGACAGTTTTGGAAACAAGGAACGAGTTTACAAGGATTTTTATCAAACATATTGTTTTTTGTGGTTTCAGTTTGAGTAAAGGTTAGTTTTGATGTCTAGCGGAGAACTCCAGTCTCCCCATGGAACTCCCATCAGAAAAACACTGTTGTGATTGATTAGTTTCATTGTTAGCCGTTTACTGAACCATGCCATGATGACCTGCTCAAACCTCGACCCAACAGAATCCAAAGACAAATTCTGCACGTAATAATCAAATAATCGTTACATCAATCAGCATTATATGAGAAATACTTGAGATAATGTTTAAGAAATACAGTTGTTTTCACAGCAAACTAATAAGGAGACACAACATTCATAAGATAGATTCCAAAATGGTCCCAGCTGAAAATAACATTAATAAAACTGGCAGAAAAACAATGTTTGAATCAGTTCCTTCTTCATTTTTCTAGTCACAATTTTGACCTCAACTAAAAAAGACTGCATATTGGTTTCACTGGAATTGCCCATTTTGCCGCGACGAATCGTGTCAATTGTTTTCCAAAGGCCTCTGGGAACGCTATTTTTCCCCCATAGAAGTACAACGGCCACGAGCTATAGTTTTATATATGAGATATTTCAACAGGCAATCGATGCAGTGCAACCCATGTGGGAATGGGACCGTGCTCCGCTTGGCTTGCCTCCCCCTCCTACTTCTTCCAGTATATCCTGGGAATAAGCATGATGAAAACAATGGGGAGAGAGTAGTCAGAAAATCGCATTGAGTTCCCGTTTCAACAGGGATCGCAAACTTTTCTACGGGACTTTTTAGTACTTTGAAAATGTGGAAGTTGAAGCTGCTGCGACGCTGTTCAGAGCTCATGAATTTCTCATTCCATTCTCTCCTCTTCATTTATTATGGTTCTTTGTTTACACATTATGCAAACCAGGTGGGAGGGAGCGGGTATTTATGGCATGTAGGAAGTAATAATTGAGCAATCATTAGAGAAGTCGCAAAGGCAGACAAGTTTAGACACTTACCACAACTGGTACATACAAAACATGTATATATATATATATATATATATGGGTCAGGTAGATTTTCATTTGAAACGCTTCCAAGATTGTCTTGTTTTGAGTTTAGGATTGTCAAAAATACTATTCTGTGCTTTTTGTCATGTTATTCACACTATATGAATACAATGAAACTCTAATCCTAAACTAATTTTAATGGTGATTCATTTTAAGTGAAAAGCTCTGAAGTGGCAAAGCCTAAACAAAAACATGTATTCCATAATGTTAAAGTTTTCAGATGCCCCTGAATATAAACCGCCCCAGGGTCATTTGAGAAGAAAGTACATTATTTGATTTACATAAATTGACACTTGACAATCCACAGGCTCAAAAACACAAGAAAAAACATCACTATAAAAGGTTTATTTAGTCAAAATTACATATTATATCATCCCTTCTTTTTTCTGCCAAAGTCAGAGATTTCTTACTCAATTCTTGCTTCTTCATTTTGCTAAAGTTGGACATTTTAGACTTCTCTCCATATTACGCTAAAGCCTGAGACTTTAAACTACTTTTTTTAGGCAAGGCAAGTTTATTTGTATAGCACAATTCATACACAAGGCAATTCAAAGTGCTGAACAAAATAAGAAAGCATTAAAATCATAAATAATCACAGAACATTAAAAAGAAAGAAAAATATACAATCCCTCAGTTGTAGCACAGTTAAACAGAACTGTCTTTAACCTGGTTTTAAACATTGTCAGAGAGGAGGCCTGTCTCACATCTTCAGGAAGATTGTTCCAGATTTTAGCAGCATGAATCTGAAAAGCAGCCTCCCCATGTTTAGTTCTGACTCTGGGCACTAACAGGAGTCCCAGTCCCTGTGCTCCTCAGAGTCCCAGCAGGAGTCCAGTCCCTGTGCTCCTCAGAGTCCCAGCAGGAGTCCAGTCCCTGTGCTCCTCAGAGTCCCAGCAGGAGTCCAGTCCCTGTGCTCCTCAGAGTCCCAGCAGGAGTCCAGTCCCTGTGCTCCTCAGAGTCCCAGCAGGAGTCCAGTCCCTGTGCTCCTCAGAGTCCCAGCAGGAGGCCAGTCCCTGTGCTCCTCAGAGTCCCAGCAGGAGTCCAGTCCCTGTGCTCCTCAGAGTCCCAGCAGGAGTCCAGTCCCTGTGCTCCTCAGAGTCCCAGCAGGAGACCAGTCCCTGTGCTCCTCAGAGTCCCAGCAGGAGGCCAGTCCCTGTGCTCCTCAGAGTCCCAGCAGGAGGCCAGTCCCTGTGCTCCTCAGAGTCCCAGCAGGAGTCCAGTCCCTGTGCTCCTCAGAGTCCCAGCAGGAGTCCAGTCCCTGTGCTCCTCAGAGTCCGGGCTGGTTCATATGGGACTAACATGTCACTAATATATTTTGGTGCGAGGCCATGGAGAGACTTGTAACAAGCAGAGCTGTTTTAAAGTCTATTCTCTGAGCCACAGGAAGCCAGTGCAGAGACCTGAGGACTGGACTAATGTGGTCGTACTTCCTGGTTCTAGTCAGGACTAATGTGGTCGTACTTCCTGGTTCTAGTCAGGACTAATGTGGTCGTACTTCCTGGTTCTAGTCAGGACTAATGTGGTCGTACTTCCTGGTTCTAGTCAGGACTAATGTGGTCCTACTTCCTGGTTCTAGTCAGGACTAATGTGGTCCTACTTCCTGGTTCTAGTCAGGACTAATGTGGTTCTACTTCCTGGTTCTAGTCAGGACTAATCTGGTCGTACTTCCTGGTTCTAGTCAGGACTAATGTGGACGTACTTCCTGGTTCTAGTCAGGACTAATGTGGTCGTACTTCCTGGTTCTAGTCAGGACTAATGTGGTCGTACTTCCTGGTTCTAGTCAGGACTAATGTGGTCGTACTTCCTGGTTCTAGTCAGGACTAATGCGGTCGTACTTCCTGGTTCTAGTCAGGACTAATCTGGTCGTACTTCCTGGTTCTAGTCAGGACTAATGTGGTCGTACTTCCTGGTTCTAGTCAGGACTAATGTGGTCGTACTTCCTGGTTCTAGTCAGGACTAATGTGGTCGTACTTCCTGGTTCTAGTCAGGACTAATGTGGTCGTACTTCCTGGTTCTAGTCAGGACTAATCTGGTCGTACTTCCTGGTTCTAGTCAGGACTAATCTGGTCGTACTTCCTGGTTCTAGTCATATAATGCTAAAGTTAGATATTTCTCCGCTGTGGGACAATTATAGGATCTCTTAATCTCAATATAAATTTGAATATTATTATGTAAATCTAAAAATGTTCACTACCTTCTTGTTACCGTGGATTTCTTATCATTTGCTTGAAATATAAATCTCATAATGATATAAAACTTGTACATTATTTAATCAGTCATTTCCCCATTCAGTGCATTTCTTTTGTTACAAGGTTGACAGAAAAACTTAACGCATTCAAGTGTTTATGCTAATGCTAATTGCCGCTCAGAATGTGTCACACTGGGGAATTAAGCACAACACTGCATGAATCTTAAACGCTAAAAATAACACGCCGACTGTATTGGAGGTCACCGGTCTATTTCTGCCTCACCA